TTTTTCACCCTTAATCTCATAAATTTCATCCTTAAACAACTGAATATCAACATAGAATCGAGTTTTAGGTTCAAGAAACTCACCTCAAAGAAAACCCCCTTGATTCCCTCTTCAAAACCCTCCAAAAAGCTTCAACTCCGGATAAAAATGGTGGAAACAACCCAATTTTCGCGAAAGGGGACTTATATACTTTTTGCCCAGCGATTTCCGCACCTGCGGGAAAAATATCGCACCTGCGCACCGCACTTGCGGTCATCTTAACCGCATCTGCGGTTTTCATTAAAGCTCTCAGGCACCGCACCTGCGACCCAGGTCTCGCACCTGCGGCTTGCAGATGCGGTCTAACTGCCCGCTCCTGCGACCATGTCGCTTCTGCGCTCAGGCTTCCGCTTCTGCGGCTCGCACTTGCGGTCCCCAATCCGCAGGTGTGGTTATGACAGAACACAACAGCTTCAGCTGCTCCAATTCAAGTCCAAACTTTCCGACAACCTTCCGAAACCATCCCGAGGCCCTCGGGACCTCAACCAAACACGACAACAAGTCATATACCACTATTCAAACTTGTACCAATCCTCGAAACACTCAAAACAACGCCGAAACATCAAATCACCCTCTGATTCAAGCCTAAGGATTCCAAAACTTCTGAATTCCGCAAACGATCAAAAAGTCTATCAAACCTCATCCGAATGACATGAAATTTGCACACACATCACAAATGACATAACGGACCTACTCTAACTTCCGGAATTTCATTCCGACCCCGATATCAAGATTACCACTACCAACCAAAAATGCCAAAATTCCAATTTCGTCAATTCAAGCCTAAATCTACCACGAACCTCCAAAATACATCCGACACGCTCCTAAGTCCAAAATCACCCGATGGAGATAACCAAATCATAAAAATCCAAATCTGAGATCAAATACTAAAAAGTCAAGACTGAGTCAAACCTCTCAAATTTAAAGCTTCAAGCTGAGAATCATCCCTCCATATCTATTCCGGTTAACCTGAAAACCAAAACCGACGATTTACATAAGTCATAATACATCATACGGGGCTAGTCATGCCTGAGAACTGGCGAGCGAAGTGCAAATGCTCAAAACGACCGGTCGGGTCGTTACAAGTTTACCAGAGGCGACTGGAGAGGTGAGAGAAATTAGAGACGGCTGGGCAGAGAAAATGGGTCTCTAGGGTTAGGGCTGGGATATAAGAGGAAGTAGGGTTTTATTGTGATCAACGGCTAGGATTGAGAGGAGATGGGGCGGGTTAGGAGAACCGGTTGTTTGGTTTGGGCTGGAGCGGACTGGGCTAAGGATTTTTGGGGTATTTGGGCCACTAATGTGGTCCGAAATTGTCTTGAAAAATAGGCTATAATTCAAATACATGAAATTTATCAAAACTAAATTATAAAATTAATTAATAAATGATAAAAATATTATTTATGCAGTAAAATACTTACAAAAAATAGCTTAATGTTATAAAAATACAATAAAGGATATTTTGGTATAAATAATATAATGAATCCAATTATGTGTAGAATATAGGTTATAAAATTATGCAAATAGCTTAAAAATATGAATGCAATTATGTAAAACTAAAGTAAAAAAATTATTTTAAAGCATGTATGTGGGTATAAATAACAAATTTGGATGATTAAGTCATCATGCATAATCTAAAGGGATAATTAATAAATATTTGAGCAATTTAAATGCAAGAAAATTAATTTTAAAGCTGTAAAAATTGCTGATAATTATGGAAAATACATGTATTATTCTTATAAATTAAATAATAGTGCAAAATGACATTTTTAAAATATATATACTATTTGGAAAATATGAGGGGAAAATTGGCTATCAACAACCTCTGAAGTTGGGGTGATAATCCTCTAAGTTGGGGTGATAATCCTTTATCCGAAGTCTAGGTCTAAAAAATATTTAAAAATGGCCTAGATCCCGATTTCCAGAATTAAATACCTTGGGCCGAAACTACTCTACTTGACGCGAAGGCCCCTCATATTCGCGACGGCTAATAGTCTGAGACCATTGCAAGCTTTCACGTTCGCGACCCCACTACGCATTTGTTAAGAGCAAAAGCCCACTGCCTCAAAATACTTTCCACGAATGCGAGACTAGTTTCGAGTTCGTAAAGCACTAAAATCACACTAGAAACCAGCAACTAAAACATGAACAAAAATGGTCCGAAATCATCACAAAACTCATCACTCGCTCCACTCGGGACCCCATCTAATCATCCCAACTAGTCTATACAGTCTATAAACTTGCTCGAAGACTCAAAACATCAACAACAACATCAAAGCAAGGAATAAGCATCAAATCCAAATATTCTGAAAGTTCTAAAGTTTAAATTTCCAACTATAAGCACCAAAATGGTCTCGGGTCACCCGGGACCCAAACTGAATATACGTACGAGTCCAAAATCATCAAACGTACCTAACGAAATCATCAAATCACCAATCTGAGATTATTTACTCAAAACGCAAACCTTGGTCAACTGCTTTAGTTTAAAGCTTCCAGAAAGAAAATTACTCTTCCAAAATATTCCTGAACCTCTCGGAAATCGAAATCAACCATGCACACAAGTCATAAAAGACCAAATAAACCTAATCAAAGTCTTGAATCACAAAATGGAACATTAAAACTCAAAACGACTTGTCCGATCATCACATTTAAAATATACAAAGTTAAAAGATCCCTTCAAGTCGCGAAAAATTTATAAATAGCCATTTTTACGCCTGGTCAATCATATTTAGCCACATAATCAAATTTCATCCTTATTTAGCCAGTAAATTGATACGGGAAAGTATTATTGACTAAATTACCCCTACTCTATTTTTAATTTTACGCAACACGACCTCACACTCTGTTTCAGTAGAATCTTGCGGCATAATCTACAGATTGAAGTAAGCTCTCAATTATTCTTCCGATTCTTCTAATTTTCTGGTTTGATCTCAATGTTTTAATCTGTGCTAATCTTGAATTTTCTCAATGCGTTAATCTGTGCTTAATTGTAAAATATATCTTCTTGTTTTTTTAATCAAATCCACTAAGCGAGGTGCCCAGGGCTAGTTTTTATATATGTATAAAATCAAAAAATAACGTACATTTTCAGAGGTCTTAAGAGATGAAAGAAATATAATTTGACGATTACATTATTCCTATTACCAATGTTGAGCAATGAGCTCTCCACTGATATCACAAAATGCATACTAAGAAAGCTAAGAAAATGAGATATAAAAATAACCATTGAAGACCATGAATATTGTCGTCCAACTGATTGCATGAATAGCCCAAGATAATGATCCACTTCTTGCACATATAGACCAATTCCATTGAGATTCCAACCAAAATCCGCTGATTGCATACAAAGCCTCTTGTTCCTTTCAGAAATAGTACTGCCCAAGCTGTGATGATGTGAACATTCATATGATAATCTTGCGAATCCATTCCTGATGCGATATCATTCCAAGAATCCAGTATGTCCTCCCAATAGCAACTGCCTAAGTACCACTGATCCGAGATGCTCATAATTTTGTCATGAAGCACTGCCCAGAAATGTTGATTGCCATTGTTTTGGCATTCATTTTTGCATGATTTCCTTCTGTGTTTTGTTAAAGTCGTTGCATAGCATTCCTCCTGGATTGTCCTACTATTATGTCGTATTGATATATAAACCCATATTGGATCTACAAAGTCCAAAACATGTTGCCAAAGTTGCCCAGTCGAGTGTCCTGGCCAAAATTGCTCCACCTTGCTGTTTTTGTGACCTAGTTCGTATGCATTCCTTGTGTATTCACCTACCCTCTTTGTATGGTTTGACCTCTGGGTTGTTGAGTAATTGTGCTGAATTTAGATTATTTATTTCAACATAGCCAATTTACCCAGAAATTATTGCCAAAACCAATCGGTCTACTGTCCTTCCCTGAGAGAAAACTAGGCAACAGCTTTGCCCCTTCCTGTCCTTAGTACTATGCTTGTGCTCATCCATGATTCCCCTTCAATGGAATGAGTAAAATGTACTAATACCACCAATTGAAGGTTCGTCATAAAATGAGGCATAGTTACAGTAATGTTCCCTACAAAAAAGAAAACCATGTTAGATAAAACAATCATCTCCATGTTCTCTTCCTTTAGGATTTGAACATGAATGACTATGAGTTCTTCCTCGTAATCAAGGTGTTCTTCCTTGTATTTTGCTTGCTCCCTGTATACTTTGTTGGCTTTTTCTAATGGTTTGTTCTTTCGGTCAATACGCCACCAAATTCCACACGCGAGCATATGATTTCAACTCTACACCAGTGTTGAGTGCAGTTGAAATAGCATTTTTTGTTGGGGGTTGCGTGTGTTTTACATATCTTATCTGAGTGAATTGTTATGCAGTTCCCTTCTTGTGACATTGAGGTGCTGCTATATTTTTGCATCTTATCCCTTGGCACCCTTTTTGATTCCAGATTTTGCTCCCAGCAGCAGTTGTATACCACGCCATTTCTGTGTAACAGTGTGGTCAGTGCCATGATCCTCCTTGCCTTTATGCTTGTGCCTACTTTCGATTACCTCCCAGTGGAATGAGTACTAGGTGCTAATACCACCACGTGGGAGTTTCTCAAAAGATAGGGCATATATACAGTAGCTTTTCCTAAAAAAGGAAAACATTGTTAGTGAAAAATGTGATCAACATACTCTCATCCCTTAGGATTTTAATATGCTGATCTAACGATTTCTCCTGTTCCCTGCAAATCCTTAGGGCCTCAACCCTTAATTCTTGGCTACCTTTACCCTCAAATAAGGACATTGTAATTTATCTTCATTAACTAACCTCCTTCCTTGACTATCCAGATGCCAAAATTCCTGACATTCAATATCACCATGATCTAATGCATAATTGACAAGATGATCTGCTTCTCTAAAAATGTGTGACACCACATAGTTGCTCCCTTCCAACAGTTATATGATCTCCTCCACTTGTTCAGCTATGCACCAAGCTAAGGTGGCTTCCACATTCCCTCTATTATTTTCTTCATGAGCATCGAATCAGTTTGAACACACACTTGAGAGTACTGCTGCATCCTGCAGTATCTCAAAGCTTCTACAATTGCCATTGCCTCTGCTTCAGTGTTTGTTGTTTCATTGATTTCCTTCCATTCTGCAAACACTATATCTCCCTTTTCATCTCTAGCATTGTAGCCAATTGCACTCCTGCCTGGATTCCCCCTAGATGCACCATCTGTGTTGACCTTGAGCCAGCATTCTCTTGGGAATTCCCAAACTACTTTGTCAACCTTCAATCAGGGGTATAATTCTCCATCAGTGAAAGTAGATCATGCCATTTATGAGGGGCATTCTGCACTCCTGGTTTCCTTACTCTAACAAGTGCTTGAAGAGTAGATGAAACTTGATATATGACTCTACTAGTTGACACTGCATCTCCATATTTCATGTTATTCCTCATCTTCCATAATTCCCATACAATGCATAAGGGCAATGCTTGTATAATTGGTTTTAGTCTAGGACACACTTTGGTAGTCCAGCATTTAGTTATAGCTTGATGCATAGACAATCCTTCTAGTGCAATACCTGCACTTGATAGGAAATACTTTCATACACTCCTTGCAGTATCAGACATGAAGAACATGTGTTGTAAAGTTTCCTCCTTAGGCTGTGAGCAGCACCAGCATTTAGAGGGCATGAAATATCCCAATCTCCTCATGAAGTCATCAAGGGGTAACTTTGCTTTCCAAACTTTCCACATGAAAAAGGAAATTTTGAATGGTAGGCCCTTCACCCAAATCATCTTGTATGCTACCCTTGGATCATCTCTCCTTCTCAGATACTCCCATGTTGTTCTAACACTGAAGAAGCCTCTTGTTTCCAACATCCAGTAAGGTATATCAAGTACCTCATATGCAGTAGGTGACTTGTTTTTTTCTATGATGTGCAGGACATACTCCTCAGGTAAAACCTCCAGAAGCCTATTTACATTCCAGCTACCCTCTTCAACCACATCATAGACATTATGAATAGTCTCATCAATCCCAAAATCTTGAGGTACAATGAAGTATAATGCCCCTAATCCTGTCCAGTTATCATACCAAAAGAGTAAAGATCCCATCTTTGGGCGCCACATTATTTGGTGCTCAATTAGATCCCTACACTCTAACATCTTCCTCCATACATGTGATCCTCTCCTCCATGGCACGATCACGAAATTCATTTTTTTGCAATTTCTGGCTCATAAATGAGCTCCACATACTTGGCTTGGTTTGATAGTTCCACCACAATTTACAAAACAATGCTTTAGCTACATCGTGCAAAGATCTAAAGCCAATCCCACCTTCTTCACATGGCATACATAAGGTTTTCCATGATGCCAAATGCCTGCTGCTGCCTCCTACTGAACTGCACCAGAAGAACGGTGCAAAAATTTTATGCAATTTGTTTATAACATTGTTGGGAGGATTTACTACTGAGAGTAAATGAATTGGCATACTCTGCAGTACATGAGCAATCAAAACTTCTCTACCACCTATAGAAAGCATCTTCCCCTTCCATGTTTTCCACTTTTCCAACACCTTAGTGATCAAACCTTGATAATAATCAAGTTTTCTCCTCGCGTAAAAAATAGGACAACCCAAGTATATGATTGGGAATTCTAGCCTTTTGATCCCAGTTACCCTTTTCACTTTATTAGCCTCCTTTATATCTATTGAGTGATGCTTGTATACATCTGATTTGCTCTTGTTCACTAGCTGCCCAGATGTTGTCTCATGTGCTGTCAATATTTCCATGATTAGTCTCAATGATGTAGCATCAAATGAAGAGAATATAATTTTATCATCTACGTAGGCTAAGTGGTTAATTTTGGGACTCCACTTAGGTAGACAAAAGCCACAGAAGTACAGATTCAAATGCAAAGAATTTAGACCCCTCGGAAGTGCTTCTGCAACTAGAATAAATAGTGTAGGAGATAGTGAATCTCCTTGTTTGACTCCTCTCGATGATTCAAAAAAACCATGAGCCTGTCCATTGATGAGAACTGAATACCAGTTATTCGAGACGATCCTAAATACTATGCCAATGAATCTCTCTAAAATCCCATCTTCCTAAGCATCTTGGTTAGGAAAATCCAAGACAATCTATCATATGCCTTAGTCATATCGAGCTTCATAACAACATTTGGCCCAACTTTGGTTCTAAGTCTGATATCTGTAATAATCTCCTGTGTGAGAAGAATATTTTCAACAATGCTCCTTCCTTTCACAAAGCCAGCTTGTTCTTCAGGTATGATATTAGGCACTAACCCCACTAATCTCTCATGAATCACCCTCGAGATAACTTTGTTGGAGAAGTTACTAAGGCTTATAGGCCTTAAATCAGAAAATGTTGTCACTTCTTTTTTCTTAGGAAGCAGTACTAGATTAGTGAGTGTCACACATTTTGGAAGTTCATGGTCATTGAAGAATGCTCTCACCATATTAAATAGGTCATCTCCTATTATGTCCCAGCAAGATTGATAAAACTATCTGTATATCCATCTGGACCTCCTACACTATCTATATTCAAACCAAACACTGCATTTTTAACCTCATCTTTAGTTGGCTGCTTCACTAAGTCTGAATTCTGCTCAACATTGATCAGTGTAGGCACATGGTTTATAATGTCAAATGAGGTAGGCACTGTGGTTTCTCTATTTTGATCTTCATAGAACTTCACTGCTTCCTCAACAATCTCCTCATCTTCCTCAATCCAATTGCCTAGACTGTTTTGAATTCTATTGAGTTGTAGCCTCTTCCTTCGACCTTTGACTTGAGCATGAAAGAATTTGGTATTCCTGTCACCATCTTTGAACCAAGTCATCCATGCCTTCTGTTTCCAATTTTTTTCCTCCAAAGCTAGAAATTTGATCAACTCTGCCTGCACTCTTTGAAGCCTTTCTCTGTTCATCTTTGTAGGATTATCTTCAAACTCAGCCTCATGAACCATAACTACCTCTTCCATGCTGGCTATCTTCAGAAATATATCACCAAAAGTTGCTCTACTCGATACTGATAAAGCCTTCTTTAACTTTTTTAACTTATAGTTGAACATAATGAATGAACTTGGACAAAAATCTGCCTGCTAGTTCTCTCTCACCATATTTTTGAAGGATTCACGTTTAACCCAAAAATTAAGGAACCTAAAAGGTTTCTTCACTGGAGCAGCCTCTATATCACACTTCAATTGCATTGGACTGTAATCTGAGCCTATCTTTGACAGATGAGGTACTTCAATTCCTGGGAAAGTTTGTTGGGAATTCAGCATTCGCTAGACATCTATCCAGCCTCTTGAAAATACTGTCCTCTTCTGCTCTCCCATTCCACCAAGTAAAGATACTCCCTTTGAAACCAAGATCAGTTAAGTTACAGGTATTAATGCAGTGTCGAAAATCACCAATTTCATTCAATGACACTGTCAGTCCACCAAACTTTTCTTCTTCATCCCATATGACATTAAATCTCCACCTACAAGCCATGGCACAGTCATGTCCCTTGCAATTGCATACATTAAGTCCCATAATTCTATTCTCTCAATGGTATCACATTTAGCATATACTAAAGTAAGAACAAGTTCCACATGAGTTTCTGTATGTAGTAGTCTTACGAGTTAGATGTTGTACCATATTATACATCACAGTAACCTCAAACACCTCATCTATGAAGGCCCAAATCTTGTTTGACACATTTGGGATTGCCTGTGCAAAACTAATTTTAGTTCTATATCTCTCCAGTTTTCTAGCATGTTGCTTTGGCTCCATTAATCCTATAAATTCATAATGATGTTTCCTATGCATTTTGATTTGCCTCTCAAAGGCTTGCTGGGTATTTACTGACCTTATATTCCATATAAGAGCATCCATTACTGATTGTTTGATTTGGTCAGAGTCCTCCTTGTTTGCATACCACCTATGTGCACAGTAGTGTTGTCTTTCTGCTATTTCTTCCTTCCTTTTGCCACTGATTTAACCTTTTAAATATGCCTGGGTGAAAGATCCCCCTGCATTGCGACATTTAAGAAGTTCTGGGCAGTAGATTCTTGATCCATATCTATGCCTGTTCTGTCAATTTCATCATCTGCATCATTGGCATCAATAGGTCCTAATGTGGCCACAATATTTGGTTTTTTAATTACCATAGCATGATCCTCTCTTTTCTTCAGCACCTTCAACTGTGTGGATTCCAATGGAATAGTATTCTTTGGTGTAGCTGTAATTGTTTTGACAACTGCTCATTCCCACTTTTTGCAGTCTTGTTTTGATTGAAAACACCAACCTCCTTTTGTTTTGCAAACTCCACAATTCCTCCTGGATCAATAGCATCATTCCCTCTCCCTTCAGGATTCTCTGTACCTATTCCATCACTTTTTGTTGTTGCCTGATTGTCCTTGACTGCTTTCTGAACATTGGCTTCTACATTAACATTATTTGTGAATTCATCAGTTGTGTTCATGACTGTAACAATTGGATCCCCATTTAAACTTTGCTCCTTTCCCTCTTGATCATCATCAATTGATTCCTCATCAGTTGGTACACCATCTAGAACTTCCCCTTCATCTGGATCTTCCTCAATTTGCACTCAGACCATAGCCTGCCTCTACTCCACTGAACTCTTTCATTCACCTTAGGAAAATCACTCTTAGTTTTACTAGCAGATTTAATTTCCAGTGTTTTGACCAGCTCTCTATCCACAAGAGTATCTTGTGTAGGTATGTCCTGACATGATGTGTTAATACCAACTGTAGTATCCTTGAAAGCTCTTTGAACCCACTGTGCAGTTGTTTCCTTAGCTCTATTTGTATCCTTCCCTTTCCCGGTTGAAGATGTATCCACACCACCATTATTTGAGCCAATCCCAGCTGAATTGGGATTAAAAACTGGTGCTGCTGGGTTTAACTTTCCAACATTGTTGACAAACTCTTTTTGACTTTGTGGAGCTGCAATTTGATTCTCAATTACTGGACTTTTAGGACTTGGTTGATAAGCTACTAACTCCAATTGATTGTCACTTTCTTCTTCCTCATCTACAACCTCCAATACTGCAAATTTATTTCCCACTTGAACCTATTTATTTGGTCCATGATCAACTAGTACTATCTCCTTTCCAGTCTTCCCTTGAACATCAGTTTGTTGTCCTGCGTTCTTATCCTTATTACCTCCATTAGTTTGTTGTTTTCTACCCTGCTGTACTGGAACTATTTCTTTTCTAGTATTTCCTTGTTCTGCAATTTGATTCACAATTTTCCTAACTCGATTATCCTTGACTTCTTTCCACTGTTCCTTCACGTTGCCAGTTAGATTACCCACAACCTTTCCACTAGATAGAATCATTAAAGGTTGTTTCTTAGCATTGTCCTGTTCCTTGTCATTCACAGGTTGTTTCAAATTATCTTTCTCCACATACAACTCTGGATGCAGCCTCCAGCACTCAATCTGATCATGACCCTGTAGTTTACAAGTTTGCAATATTTGGGTAGCATGTCATATTGGATTTTCACCCACTCAGTTCTAATCTCCCCAGTTGCTTCATTCTCTATATCCATCCTTACCTTTTTAGGCAGATCAGCAAGATGATCCACTAGCACTATCACCCTCGCACAACTAGGTTTAGTTTTGTTGATAGTAGCCATATCAAGGTGCAAAGGTTTCCCAACTGCTGAAGCTAATGAAAATAGGCATTCCTTCACAAAGAATGTAGGTAATAGACCTTGGAATGATATCCATGCCATAGCTTTAGGAGTTTCCTCACCAGCTTTAAACATAGAATCATAGATCAAATGCCTTAACTGGTACTCATATCCCTCCTTGTCCTTATTGTAGTGAGCATTCTTTGATGTAAAATTCAAGAAGTCTTGCCATAATATCATTCTTATTAGAAGATGCATGTCCCTTAAGAATCCAATATTACACTCTCTTTTGATACCATAATGTATAGGGATAATGCGACGTAGCTGCTGAAGATCTAGCCAACTATAGGATAATTTTCCAACGATAGCATACTGCAAACCTTCGATCACGTCCATTCTTTCAACTTCTTCTTCTTTAAACTTCACAACAGGTTTTCCATTCAACAATGTAGCCCTACACAATGGAATTGGCTCAACTTCTGATACTCGTGCATGCATGGCAGCATTAATAGTTGTAGGTTTCAATACTTTTGCATAGTCCATGGGTTGGGGATTGGTGTTTGTTGTCGTTGGAGGTTGGGCGAGGGTTGGGGGAGGCTGACTAGATGGAGAAGAAGGCTAGCCACCGACCAAATCGGCCATGGCAGTGATCAGAGTATAAATATCGCCTCCTGATCGCCAGAAACCCTAGAGGATTTAGGAACTGGTTTTTCTTTATCTTCTTGTTTGTAATTCAGATCGTAACTAATAAAATATGCATTGTTCTGATATTATTATAAATTTTATATGAAAAACATTTATTCTATGCTCAATTGTATAATATATAAATGTAATTTAATTTCATGTAATTTGTGTTGTTCTTTCAAAAATACACAGTAAAAGTTATAGAAAATAAACTAATTGCAGAACAAAACATCCAGTATAATATACTGGATCTTTCTGCATAGATATATTATCCTTTTAAACTTCTAGAATATTATACGGAGAGTATGTATGATTCAAACACCAAGAATATATCTAAACTTTTAAGATTCACCTACTATTCTGAATAAAAAGATGAAATTTTGTTGTTAGATATGTCAAAACTACACACTCTCCAACATATAGTACTGGAGGTATCTTTGATTCCATTCACTACAAAAAATTATGCATAGATTATACTGGAAGTATCTGTGATCGCACATCTAAAAATATTAAGGTCCGGCTAATGCTAAAATGCTATAGTACTCGAGGTATCTTTAATTCAAAATCACAAAAAATAACACAAAAACGTGCAGAACAATACGCCAGTATAATATGCTGGACTTTTCTTAATTTATATCTAAAACTCAGAAACTTCCAGCTGATTCTACTGGAAGTATCTGTGATTCAAATAAGAAGAACACATGTAACTTTTTAAGGTTCCCCTAGTGTCTTGAATAAAATGCTAGACTTTTATGATTATATATGTCAAAACTATAAAGTCTGCAGCATATAGTACTGGAGGTATCTTTAATTCAAAACCAGAAAAAATGCTGCATAAAATGTTGTTCCAGTGCTTGATTCAAAACCAGAATAAAACACAAGTATAATACGCTGGAGCTTTCTGAATTAATATGTGAAACTCATAAAATTCCAAAGTATTATACTGGAAGTATCTTTCATTAAAACTACTACAAAAAATTATGAATAAAATGGTATAGAAGAAAATACCAGTATAAAATACTACACTTTTCTTAATTTAATATGTAAAACTCAAAAAATTCCAGTAGATTATATTGGAAGTATCTGTGATTCAAACCAGAAGAAACACATCTAAATTTTTTAGGTTTTCCTAATGTTGTGAATAAAATGCTCAACTTTATGATTACATATGTGAAAGATACAAACTCTGCAGCATATAATACTGGAGGGATCTTTAAATCAAAACCAGAAAAAATAATACATAAAATGGTACAAAAGATAACCCCAGTATAATATGCTGGACTTTTGTTAATTAATATCAAAAACTCAGAATCTTCCAGCTTATTATACTGGAAGTATCTGTAATTCAATTTTATTTTTTGTTCAAATAATATCTAATTATTATTTTAATTGATACATAAAACTCATAAAATTCCTAATATCTAATTATTTGTGTACATTAAATGCAGGATGCATATAAATTTCTTGATTATTGCTTTCGATGGAAAGTGGACACCAGATTACAAGTATTTAGATCGTAAAATGAAGCTTCTGCTTATAAATGATGGAACTTCATTTGACGAATTCATGAATAACTGTAACGACCCAGCCGATCGTTTTGAGAGTCTTAGCCCTGTTCCCCCATTTTCTACTTCATTTGTATTCTTCAGCTATATTTATGTTGTACCAGGTTAGTTGGTACGGATCCGGAGTGATTTCGGAGTGAATTGAGATACATAGTCTCTTATTTGGAAGCTTAAGTTGGAAAAGTTGATCGGGTATTGACTTATGTGTAAACGATCTCGGATTTGAATTTTGAGGGGTCCGTTAGTTTCTTTAGGTGATTTTGGACTTAGGAGCGCGTCCGGAATGTGATTTGGAGGCCTGTGGTAGAAATAGGCTTGAATTTGCGAAAGTTAGAATTTTGGCAATTTTGGCCGGCAGTGAAAATTTTGATATCGGGGTCAGATTGGATTTCCAAAATTTGGAGTCGGTTCGTGGTGTCATTCCGGACTTGTGTGCAAAATTTGAGGTCATTCGGACGCGGTTTGATAGGTTTCGGCATCGTTTGTGGAATTTGGAAGTTTAGAAGTTTTTAGGCTTGAATCCGGGTGTGATTTGGTGTTTTGATTTTGTTTTGAGTGACTCTGATGTTCTAAACGTCAATGCCACACAAGAGGGGGGGGGGTGATTTGTGTGGTACCCAATTTTTGCTTAAACTGCTTCTGGAAGGACCTGGTTCTTCTAGGTGTACTAACGACTTCTATTTGCGGAATTAAAAGTACATAAAATAAAGAACACAGAGATTTTTACGTGGAAAACACCTGGCTCAAAAGGTGAAAAAAACCACGACCTACTACTCAGTAGGATTTTTGCAAACTTCCACTAAAATCACTGAGCCAAAACTGCATTTACAAAACTCTTTGTAAACCTAAGGATTAACTCTAATCCCGTTGTAGCAACCGGCCTCTAACTGCTGCGACAACTTCAAGTTAACTCTAACTTGAATACTCAAAATACCTATTACAATTGCTTCTAGATAAAGCTGAAAGGTACAATATGAAACACCTACTA